AAATGTAAATCTAGTATCCGGAAACTTATTCAGCATCAGCCCTGAATGAACACACATGTTTCCTTCAGGACTTCACACTTCTTGGAGGTATGCTATAAATAAGAAATAGAAGTGAAATGTTACAGGTTTTTTTTTAAATTAATTATGAAGGTTTGGACCTGAGGAACTGAAGTACGGCGCAGTCAAGCGAACGCTAATCTTTGCCACCAGGCTATGCATTCACAGAGTGACTTAATTAAAAAGCATCTTCGTTATGGAATGGATGCAGGTGTAGAAACCAGTGAGGTTTTTCTTTTCTGATAGATTCAGAAAGCCTGCAGGAATCCTTCACCCGTCCCACAATTGAAAACAGGATGCATAACAACATGGCGCCTTTATAAACAGTGCAGCGAAATGTGAAGTATGGGAGAAGACCATAATCATTTATAATGGTGCATTGAATTCCTAATGTCTGTCTTATTGTGCGTTTCACAATAAAGGTATATGCACAGCTATATATGACATAGCTATTTATCATATATGTGGTAATCTGACAAAATGAACTGAGAATGTGTCAGAAATGGAGGGTTTACTATAGTAACCCGAGTGAGTAATGTGCGTTTACCAAGACGTTGACTTCGACTCAGGTAAGGAACGTTCTGCTTTTGTCTAAGACTCTGAATGCTGGCCTGATTTTCAAAGGCTATTATTATACTAAACTATTATTGAGTAGAAACTGCCATTGAAATGAATGTATTGTCTGTATTGAACCGCCGCTGTCCAAGGTCCTGGATGTGAGGAAGGGAACTCTCCATGGTGCTGACATTATAAAACAGCCTCAAAAACACTTAAACTCCTTTAGTTATGCTACATGTGTTTATTGTGTTTAGTTAGTTCGTTCTGCTGTGAAATACTCTCTGGCTTTGATAAAGAACATTTAGTGAGCATTTGTGGTATGTGTTTCACCACTAGTGAAAATGCTATTTTTCCGGTACAAAATTATATGATCATTTTTGAGAAACGTTGAATTGACGATTGCACCTGATTTTTAAGATTGAATTTGCATTCCAGATGTTTCAAAGAACAACTTTGGAAGCAAATTCAAGCGGTTCATACCATACAGATTCATTAAATATGAAGTTATGTTGTGAATCAGACAATAGTGTCATTATTCAGCTCGAATAAGTTTAATGGTGATCCAGTTCAGTTCAGTTCAATTACGAAGCAAATTTGAGGGTTTAGTGATGCAGAAATATGACTGAATCTTAATTCCCTTTGTTTTATTTCATGAACCTTTCTGTTCATATCCAGGTGGTTTCAGGCCTTTGGTCCTCGCTGTATGAAGGTCATTTATCACTGATGTTCATTGTCTGGTGACCCAGCTGTGAACTATTCGCACATTTCTGTAAGGCCATATTTCTGAAAAGAGTCTTAGAGCTGAAATGCTTGCTCTTTTTCCCTCTGTTCCATCACATGCATGTTCTCGCTGTATATCCCCACCTCATCTCTTTCCCACTCTCCGGCCCTGTGTGAGGTCTAGATATGTCTACACATCTGTGAATCCCTGTGGCGTTTGAGTGACGGGAGAACAGCGTGTTTCTGCATTAGCCACAAAACTCAGCAAAATCTCCCACACCTCCTGCATTCTGCTCGTCTGCGCAGGCAACGCTTCTCAAAGCCTTTTCAGCTTAGAGCAACAACAGAAATTGGGTGTAAAATGCATGCATGCATCAAAATGCATTGAATTGGCAATGAAAATGCATGCATTGCAACATTTTGCAAACAAAATTTCATTTTCGTTTTATTGCTTTGGCTAATGCATCTTGGTAATTTACATTAAACTATTAAGTAAACCCAAGTAAAGTGTAATGTTTTATAAAGCAACACTAAACAACTTTATAAACTAGTTATATTTTTCATAATCCTTTATACAACTGGTTTTATAAACCAGCACAAGTGTTTTAACACTTTTTCATGTACATGGCCTTAACTCTTCCATATGAGTTTTTATGTAATATTAAGCAGCGTCTTTGAAGTGGAGGGAAGCTTTCATTAAAAACCTCGCGCACGACTCGCTCCGGCTTCAGGTTTAGAGAGCAGAGAACCGTGGAGCCCACATGAATGTGCTCATGTTAAAGTCAGTCATAAGGACACTGCACGTGACCCTTTCCAAAGACACATTGCTTTAAACTGGGTTTCTACTGACAGACAGCACAGCAGTAACTTAATATGAAAAATATTGCAGATTTTATTGTTCAGTGTTAGTTACTGTGCAAATGCAGGCCAGGGTGGTAACATTTTTATTTTACAGTTTGGGTGACGGAGTCGATGTTTAAATTGATTGAAAATCCATTACAAATATCTAGGCTAAATGCGATTTAATGGCAGGCTCCCATTGTGACAACTTACCCCATATAACGGCTTCCTATGAAAGCTTGTTTCCGCCACAGAATAAAAAATTTAAAAGGTAATTGCGACATTTTATCTCACAATTTTGAGAAGTCTCGAGAAACTCGAGAAAAAGTCAGAATTGTGAGTTCTGAAGTCAGAATTGCGAGATATAAACATGCAATTGCGAGAAAAAGTCTGAATTGCGTGAAATAAACTCGTAATTGTGAGAAAAAGTCTGAATTGCGTGATATAAAGTCAGAATTGTGTGTTATAAAGTCAGAATTTGCATTATATAAAGTTGCAATTGCAAGAAAAAAAGTGAGAATTGTGAGATTCTTTCTCGCAATTGCGAGTTTATATCTCACAATGTTGGCTTTTTCTCGCAATTGCGATTTACATATGACGCAATTCTGACTTTTTCTCACAATTTCAAGTTTATATCTCACAATTCTAACTTTATAACACGCATTTACTGCTTTATATCACTCAATTCAGGCTTTTTTTTTCTCTCACAAGTCTACATCTCGCAATTCTGAGAAAAAAGTCAGAAAAAAAAAGATGTAAACTCGCAATTGTGAGATAAAAAGTTGCAATTATCTTTTAATATGCATTATTCTGTGGCGGAAACAAGCTTCCATATTTTTTATGTCCATAAATATTGGCTTTTTAAAACCCAATCCTACCCAGAGAAGTGTGACAACTAGCCCCTATCCCCATTTTTACGTAATAGTTCATTAGGCTAATTTTTTTTAATAATAAATAGCTAGTTATCATTTTGTTTGTATGACAAATAGTACATAAGCTAAGACCAAATAAACTGTCACTACAGTAGACAAACTGAGTTAAAATATACTAATATATACTTTATATTTTCAATGTTTTTGAAAGTCTCTTCTGCTTACCCAGGCTTCATTAATTTGATCTAAAGTACAGAAAAAAGTAATACTGTGAAACATTACTACAGTTTAAAATAACTTTTTTCTAATTCAATGTATTTTAAAATGTTATTTATTCCTGTGATCAAAGCTGTGTTTTATAATGTTATTTGTGTAATAACTGACAAATAATTTACACATTTGCCAAATTTGATTTGATTATTGTTTCATTTGCAGAAATCATGGGATTAATTATGAGTAAGAAATTAAGAGTAAGAAATAATTAAATCTGTAGTTTATATATAGATACTGTAGTAAAACAATGGTCAATTTTGCAGTTACTACGGTTTTACTACAAAAAACATTTAGTTACTATTGTTTTATTACAAAAAAACATGGTTAAACCTTGGATATTGTTGTAAAACCATGGTTAATTTTGTAGTTACTATAGGTTTTACTTGCAGTAACACTTTACAATAAGGTTCATTAGTTAAAATGAGTTATTTACTAACGATGAGCAATACATTTGTTTCTGTATTAGTTCATCTTTGTTAATGTGAGTTAATCAAAATCCAGCTGTTCCTTGTTTGTTCATGTTAGTTCACAGTGCATTAACTAATGCAACCTTTATGCAATCAACTAATGCAATCAAATACAACCTTTGATTTTAATAATGTATTAGTAAATGTGGAAATTAATATTTACTAAGATTAATAAATGCTGTAGAAGTATTGTTCATTATTAGTAGGTAGTTAACTAATGAACCTTATTGTAAAGTGTAACCATGGTTAATTTTCATAAGGGGAGTGATAATGCAGAGTGATCGTGGCATCGTGCGGTAAACATTAACAATTAGTTTTGATAACGTTGTTAATTATTCCTAGCCCTGACTCATTTCGAAGCATTTTCTAAACTATGCAGGTAAAGCATGTGGAATCGGCAGGTGAAAATCCGCTATTGGCACGTGTGCAAATCCACCCCTTGTCCTCTCGCACACTACACACACACACACACACACACACAGAGCAGTGTTGTGTTCAGCTCTCCGTGAGTGGACTGTTACCGAGGATAGGGAGGGACTCGCAGATGCTCTTCATGAGGAGTAGAGCAATACATCAGCGACTCCAACGCGGTGCCAAATGTTTTTAATTCGGTTTCTGCGTCCGTTTCCCGCAGGATGCCATTTGGAAGATAAAAATGCGCATATGAAATAAACGTGGGTGGGATCCCGTCTGCGTTGGACACTGGATCTATGATAACGAAACTGCGAGCTGCATTTGGAGAAATGTTGGAAAATGTATCTGTATGCTGAGCAAACTGGATGGGCTTTTCTGAGGGAAATAGCGCCGGTGTGAACGGACGCTTTGTCCTTTGCGTCTTTTTTCATGCCCTCGTTCTCTAACCGAGTGGATTGTATCTGCATTTCCCATCAAATGGTGTTATTTTCGTGTTCATGCTCTAAATACGACGATATCGGACTGTTTTTACCTCAGTCGCTGTGTTTCCTCTGAGGCGATCCGACGTAAGGTGAAAAGTCTGACTGGACCTCCTTCAGAAGTAAACCATCAACATTTCTGGATTGTTCGAGGATTCCTCATTCTAACTCTGTTTTTGGAGGCTAACAATTCTAGTTATGGATTAAATCGCCTTTATTAATCGTCAGTGCTGAACCGAAAGTCTGTTGTGGGAAAGATCGGTTGATTCGAGGGAGCCGTTTGAAATGAAGAACCGTTAAGAATTGCCGTTAAGATTTCG